GGTATAGCTCTAAAGAATGTAGCATCATAGGCAGTGTAGTCCGTTATATTAAGATTTAAACATCTAGTTGGTGTTGGTATGGCAAATAACCTTCTGTAATAGTAATAAATCACACGGCAATAGTACATTCATGTAGTTGTAAGAAGCATGATAATATATTAAGTAATCCAAAGTATTCAGAATACGTTACTCTCATTGAGTAACGTAACGGAATACGTTACAAAATACATTTTGGGGCATGTATTCTGTAATCTGTAATGGAATACATTTTAAAAGTAACCTTCCCAACACTGTAAAGCGCACAGCCCGACACATACCAACACAACAGCATAGATAGCACAGACGTTATGGCGGCGAGGCGTAATTGTGGGTGCCGCTCAGGTGCGTCCGCCTCCCCTCCCCCACGCCCCACCACACACATTAACCAGGTGAAATACATATTTAGGCAGAATATTGCAAATATCTATTTTTCATCTTTTAGCAGCATAGTGCTTTTTTCCAATTATTTTTTAAAAAATCAGGTCAAGGCTCCAAAAGCCCAAAGGCGATATAAGATTGGCGGCTCACAACAGTTTTTGTTTGCTACATGGATCATTTTAGTTCAGCTGGGTGTCTTTCTTTTTGTTATATTTCTTTAAGAGTTCAAAATGTGTTAATTACATAAATAAAATGTAATTTTCTCTCTCGCACTTCATGGATTTAAGCAACACACCTTAGTTGTTCACACAAAGCATAAAGCTAAAAAAAACCAATATATACAGTGTTATCTTCATTTTAGATGTCAAAAAGTATTTGCGGCTCCCAGTGTTTTCTTTTTCTTTGGGTGTTAAAGGTTGTTGACCCCTGATCTAGCTGTTCACTTAGGATTGTGAAAATATTGCGGTTTTCATTCAAATATGACGAGTGCGTCACACGGGTATCACCTTTAAATTAAATGTAATATTTGATGACCTGAGGACCAGAATGGGCTCAAAAATGAAATCTTTAGTATAAAATGTCACTTTTCAGCCGTAACCTACACAAACAATAAACTGATCATAAAACAGTTGTTTTAGAATCCGTTGACATAGTTATACATGAATTAAATAATAGTCCTGATGAAATTATGATTTCATTAATTATATTTCTATTATTTGTCAAAAATTCAACAACTAAATTGTTTTTTGAACTATTGATTTTTCTACTTTCTGGCTTTCCCCCTCCAATTTAATACTGAATGCAGATCTGTGAACGCCATCGCAACTTCATGAGAAATTCAGAAACAGGACGTGAATTCCTGCATTTTTATCTGGCGTGAACATTTTTCAGATATCGAACATGAAAGATCGTCTTCTGGCAACCTTAATTCAGAGACCCCATTTCCTCACTGCGCAACATTCCCAAGAGTAAGATAAAGGAGAGGTACAATGGCAGCTCTAAAAAAGGAATTACAGAACAAAAGGAAGAAGTGAAGAAGGAGAAGACGGCAGGCCTATGTTGGATAGATTTTTTTGAGTTAGATTGTTCTTGTTTGGGGGCACTGACTGCTGCTGAGTTGGCCACGGGGCTGCAGTAAGGGGTTGTGGAGGAGGTGATGGAGGTGGGCGACTCGGCGGCGCTCCTTACAGCCAGATACTGCGGGGTGAGGCCGCCCAGGCCCGTCAGGCTCCCCCAGGTGGTCGCACTGTTGAGCTGCTGCATCTGCTGCGCCAGCTGCTGCTGCAGACGCCGCTGCTCCTTGTCCTTCTGTGTGTCGGCGAACTTCACCACGATGGGAGATGAGCAGCCCTGCGGAGATGGGAGGATGAGGAGGAGCGTAAAGAAGGGGAGGGAAAGAGAGGAAGAAAGGGAAAACGAGAAGGATGAAGAAAGGGAGAAGGGAAGGAAAAGGGAAGAAGAGAGTAAGGAAGTGAGATAAAAAATAAAGAAGTGATAGAAGATGAAAGGGAAGTATAGAAAGGCCACAAGCCCCCAAAGATGAGAGGAAAGGAGACAAAAAAAGAACATGAAAGGATGGAAGGAAATGAGAGAGGAGCCAAGATGAGAGAGAAGGGAGGAAGAGAAAAACAGAAATGGAGAAGTGAGGAAACAGGAGAGGAGAGGAGTTCAGGCAGGAGAGAAAATGGGAGAAGAAAGAGAAAAGGAGTCAAAGGATTGTTCAGGTACTTTGTTGCTTGCAAACACACCTGTAATAATTGTTGTACTGAGTGAACACAATAAAGGCAATAAGCCACATGTCTACAGTGATGATACATACCTGAAATCATCCACAAACATCTTTGTATTAACAAACTTAACTTCAGCAAAGAAAGAAAATATTCTCAATTAAAAAGTCCTCTCTTGCGCGCACACACACACTCACTCAGGGACACAGGACACGCACACACAGTCACACAGGAAACCTGAGTCTAAAGCCGGTGGGCTTTCTTCTTTCCCCCAAAAGGGCTCAGTTATCTCTGAGTCCAAAACGGTATCACCAGAAACAGATTTCCCGAGTTCTCCAACTATTTCATCATCTCATATGAAGAGAGACTTGATCTGTGTGTGTCTGTGTGTGAGTGTGTTAATATGTGTGAAAGAGGGGGGAAAAGACCTAGAGAGAGAGAGAGAGTGATTTGGGCGACTACGAAGAGAGGTTGAGAGGGCAAGAGAAAGATTTAGAGATTTTAACGGTCACTAGAACGGCATCTAATTGTTCGAATTCTTACGCCTCAGAGCAGCGGCAGTGTGTGTATGTGTGTGTGTAAGAGAGATGATTGTGTACGCACACTGAAGCTGGGTAACAAATCAGACGTCCAACACGCTTGCTAACAACTATGACACGAAGGAGACAAAAACCCACAACGCTCCTGATGAAAGCTGCGGTGCCGGCTGAAACGAAGCTGAGACGGCAAGTCATAATCTATCACACCACACCATTACTCACACAACGCAATCAAAGCCTAACTAGGGGCAAATCCGTTCAAAAACAAAGGCAATCTGCCACAGGAGGATAAAAACCTTTTGATTGAAACATTTAGTTTGAGGCTCGATCCGCACTCGGCGGGGGAGAGAAGGGATTTGCCTACTTTGCAGATAGCGCTGCACACGTTTTGGAGCGGAGATGTGCTGTATGACGGTTGTGTGTGCCGGTGCAGGTATTTTGTGCAAGAGTGAAAGCGAGCGAGAGCGTTTGCACTTCCTTCCTTCACCGTGGATCAGAGCGTGTACTGTGAAACTAGCTTTTAGCATTCACACTTCAGTCAGGACCACTTTGGTAAAAATAACACCGTGATTTCCATTTGCATTTATTTAGATTTGACAGTACCGGGTGTTCCAAAGTAATGAGTTTGTCGGACAAACCGGCCTTTTCATGCGTGTTTGCTGAACAGGTGTACCCTTTCTGGACACAATTTTGCATTCCTGAAAAGAAAACATGTCAGTCTCTGATGCTAACACGATGCTAGTGAGTGAGATGCTAAAAGCTGAGGGTATGCCAACCCGAAACAAGCAGCCCAAACTTGATTTTTAGGCCTCACCATTTTTGTGTTGATACTCATACATTTGGGCCATTTATCCCTTTGAGTCAACTTTCTTCTGATTGGCTGCCCTCTTACAAACAGATGGTCTAAACAGGAAGTGGAAAGTGCTTCTGTGCGCACAGCCAGAGCTGCATGCCTGAGATGTCCAAATAAGGGATATCCTCTCTGTGACATCATAGAGATCCAAGAGTAGAAAAAAAACTGTGAGAAGCCTGAGCTTTTGTCTCACAGGGAGTATTTGTACATACACTGATGTCACTATTTAAAGCTATGGCCATGTTTAATATGAGAATCCACCACTGTAATTACAGACAAGGCCTAAAAAGTCATTGTTTTTTTTCCTAAATATCATCCAAAATAATCTATTAATAATCATTAACACCTTTAGAAGTGTATGCCTACGCTTTGACAGTATGACTGTCAAAAATAAAGAGTCTAGCCTAAAACTTTAATGGGAAATTAAATGAATTGCAAAGCCGAATTAATCTCTTACCAACATCACATCATCACAACTGATGGCTGTTGGCTTTTGCACCAAATATTATGCCTTTAATCTCAGTGTAAATTGAGACACAGCATGGAATCATTTTGATATGACTTTAATTGGTTCAGCAGCTTCATTCTTATAACAAACACATCGAAGAATACAGATGGATGCTTTTTTTTTTAAAGCTCTGTGTTTTCTCTTACTGTGAAATCTGACAGTCTGACCAATGACAGAATACACATCACATCCTGAGCAACATTAAAAAAAAAAGAGTTTCTGTGTAATTTAAAAGCAGACCTTCTTTGTCTGATAGAACATCCAGTGTATCTGCTTCCTTGTATGTGTATGTGTCTGTTTCTGTGTGTTACTGCCCTTCTTCTGTAGGCCTGACTTATCAGCTGAATGAGCTCGTCTCCTGTCTGTCGGCGGCTCGGCCATATTTACTCTGTCTCTCCACTGGTCATTTTGCCTCTTCATTCTGACCGCCGACAGATAAAGTAGAGGAGACGACGGGAGAATTGTATTGGGAGGGCGAGGGTTAGTCGGGGCCTCGCCGTTGGAGTCGATTCCCCCTGAGAACCGAGCTCCCTATCCCGCTCTGCTAAATATCTCATCACTCCAGTTGACACCTTGTGAGTGAGGGGAAATGCAGCCCGGAATGAGAGTCCTGCTCTGGGAGGAAGGCTGAGGGCCACAGGCATCTACGCCTGATGCTGCCGGTTATCCCCGAACGGCCAGCTGTTGCACTTTGAAGCTGTTTTTCAGGTGATTGCCTTGTTGGTTACCTTCGCCCCTAAATGCTGAGGATACATGGAGAGAAAGTGGCAGCTCATGCCATCTATTAGTTTGGCTCAAAGAAACAAACTATCCTGCTTTTACCTTAAGGGGATTTTTTAAAAATTCATCACAGATTAGCAGCAGCTCGAACTTTCATATAAAAACACTCTCTGACTAAAGAGCTAATCAACCTTGATTGAGACGAACAGGCATCTAGAAAGCCATGTATATCAGAAGCTGTTTTGACAGATGAACTCCAGGCAGTGTCAGGAGGATTAAGTTGGGACTTTGTCCAGCTGGTCCTTGTGAACTACATGCTCATACTTCTCACTTCTGGAAGTACTCTGGCTTCAGCGATGGAGCTGCATGGATAAAGAGTGCAACAGGCAGAACATTGGACCTTGTGCTCCCTGCTCATGCCCCATGAATTCAATTGACTATTACCTTTTCTTCTATAACACAGACTGTTACTTCACTAGAAAGGCAGGAACATTTAATATCTGATATGCCAGATATTCTTTTTCTTCTTTTGGCTGCTCATGTTAGAGGTCACCATGGTGGACCATCTGCCTCCATCTCACCCTGCTCCTACAATCCCTTCTGTCACACCAACCCTTTCTATGTCCTCATTCACAACATCACCTTCTCTGTGGTCTTCCTCTTTTCCTCCTGCCTGGCAGCTCCATCTTTAACATCCTTTGTCCGGTACATCCACTATCCTTCCTCTCAACCTGTTGTTCCTCTGATGATGTACACATTTCCAATCCTGTCCATCTTGGTTTATCCCAATGTAAATCTTAGCATCTCCAGCTCGGCCTCCTGTCTTTTTGTGAGCTCCACCATCTTCAAAACACACATCATAGCAAGTTGACCATCTTGTAAATCTTCCTTTTCACGCCCCTGTCACTCATTTCTACTCACTTCATCCAGCCTGGACCTCTCGCACTGTCCATTACTTTGGAAGATTGACAACCCGTCTCCCTCTCATTCACACACAAATTTTGTCTTGCTTCAGCTGACTTTTCTCTCCTGGACATCTCCATGTTTACACAGGTATCTCATCAGGACCACCTAGCTTTCCACTCTTCATCCTCTTCATAGCTACCCTAATTTCCAACATATTAATCCTCTGCTCCTCTACATCCATCCATCCATCTCTAACATCCTTTCCAGTTTGGTCTCTCTGCCTAGCCATGTGATACATTTCTCTGCCAGATAACGAAGTGAAAAGCTCAGGACTAAAAATGCAGATTATCAATCTCCACTGATGACTGTCTGGAAATTGTTCTGCAGCAGCCATCTTTTGAATTGGACTGCATGGACTACATATCTAAAGTTTAAACTTTGCATGGTGTGATTATAAGTCTATTATAAATATATGTAAAAAGAAGCCATGGCAATTTGGGCAATTATGACTAACTTTCACTGTTTCTGGGCAGCTAGAGGTATATGATTCAAATTCACCTTCAAATAAAAACAGGACAAAAAGGTGAGAGTCTGGAGAAAAGTGAGCAAAACTGCAGGATTTGAAAATACGTCATAGCTTTTGGGATAAATCCACAATTCCAGTGTCGAACTGTTTGCGCAGAGGTTTGTGTGAAGTGTCATTTTGTTATATTCAACATCAAGAAATCCACTTTGAATTACTATTGAAAGCACTGGATACACTTAATTTTTCATACAGCATAGTTGATGCTGTGGCACGATGGGCGTATTTTCAGAAGCTTCCATAAATTTAAACAAGTAGTTGACGTGCTTGGATTCCCAAAGAATTTGGACTTGTAACTTGTATATGTAACTAAAAATAAAAATACTCACACATTGTGTATTTTACCGTTTTGGTAATTAACCTGTGAAGGAAAAAAGAACTTTCCAAACCCTTGCTAACTAAATATGGCAAGTGTAACAGGACTATTAAATCTTTGTCATAGTCTGGTGCGATAATCTCCTTACACTCGTCTGTTCTCTCTTTATCTCCCATAGCTGTTAAAATCATTAAGTGC